TATTTATTTTTTTATCCTGTATGTAAAGACAGTAATGACAACATCAGAGAACACAACAACAGTTATAGTCCATGAAGTCATAAATGAAGAATACGAGTACATACAATATAACAAACAGTTACGTCTCATTCGTTCTGTCAAAGACGACATGTACCAAATGCAAAGTATTTTGACAGCATGTTATGCTCCAGATACTAAACTTCCTAAAGACTGGTTTAGGAACCAAAGCACTATTGAACTATTAAATGAAGCACAGCGAGACATACTTTTTTCTGAAAACAGCGAAGCACAGCGAGTGGGTATAAAACCCCAGTCGCCAAAACTCTATGAAAATCGTGAAAAATTGCCAAACGGTTTGAGAGGATATTATGTTCATAGACTTCTCGTAAATGTTGTAGCAATGTGGGCTTCACCTCGTTATGCTTGGTATGTTTGTAAACTTCTTGACGAAATTCACAGACAAGAACGCGAACAGATGGAAAAGAAACTTCAAGCAAAAGATGAAGTCATTGAATCCAAAGACAAAAGCATACAGAAAAGAATACCACGTTCAGTACCAAAAGGAAAGGAAAAGAGTTATAAGTATATGATATATACTGAAGAGTTGGAGAATGAAGAAGACAGAGATATGGTTATGTTGCATTTAGTCAGAAGAAACAACAAAAGCTTTTACGACCTTGCTAAAATATATAAATCTGACAGAAACTGGTTCTATCGTGAAAACTTACCGATTTCAATGACACCGAATGAGCAAATAAAAGAAATTGTCAAAAATACTCTTCCTCAAACACACTATGACATCAAAGGTTGCACAATACTTACCTTCAAAGAAGACTTAACATTACTGAAGGAAAAAATAACAGAATATTTCGATAACTTCAAAGAGGAAGAATGAAGTCACGACAACATTAACGAAGAAGTCACGACAACATTAACGAAGAGAGAATGAGGTGAGAAAACAGGTGATATCTCACCTCTTCACCAAAAATATATTTTTGGTTAAATAGCTTCAGGGTCAATTTCTTCAACCATTTCACTTCCTTCGTCAATGTCAATAGAAGCTTCTTCAACCTTTGGTAAGAACTTTTGTATAACATCTTTGTTCGTTATTGTCTTCAGAGATGAAGGATAATATTTCACATTTATTTCACCCTTCTTATATTCTTTCTGTTCGGAAAGATTTAAAGCAATACTGAAGAAGTCAATGTTGGAGTTCTTTATAACAGTATAATGAGTATCTTTGACATTCACGAAGAAACCCTTTTGTTTCAAAACTACTGCTAACTCTTGTGAAGTATAACGTTTGCGGTCAATGACGATAGCTAATGGTCTGACATACTGACCGAACTTAGATTCTTTCACAAACTTCTTGTTAAAGATAACATTGACGTTTGAAGCACCATTGAACTCATTCTTGATGGCAGTAGCGAGAGCATTGTATGAAAAGAACTTGCAATCTTGCATGTGTTTCATTAAAATAAAAATATTAAATTATTTTGAAAAATAACTTAAAAAAATCTAATCTAATTTTTTCAAAAAATATTTTTTTTATTTCCTACTAAAGATGTATCGGAAGTTGTCTAAGTTAGAACACTCGGAAATAAAACAACTTCTTACAGAAGCTAATATAGATGTTGCAAAACATTACGCGACAAACAAAAAATCACTCGCTGACTTCATTAAAGACTACAATGGTGAAATAACTTATGATAGAATTCATGAGTTCATAAAGCCGCAACGCGGCGAGGACGAAGTCCATGCAAGAGCATTTCCTTTAAATGACGTTGCTATTGACTTATATCATAGACGTTCAATACCTCATGAAGTAAGACGTGAGATGTTTGACATAACAAATGCGAACGTTGGTCATACTCGTAAAGCTCTTTCTCATGATGTTCGTCAAGAGATGTTTGACATAACAAAGCCGCATGACGGCGCGGGCGTAGCCCATGCAAACGTTGGTGAAACAAGAAGAAGAGACGACACACTGAAACAACAGAGAAGAGAGATGTTTAAAAGTGCTATAGAACAAGTTCGTAAAGCTAACGATGTCATTCGTTCCATTGACGACAAACCAAAAGAAGGTGAGAGATGGTTAAAGAAAGATGAAGAGAATAGGAAGAGAAATGTGAAGTCAGGCAATAGACTCATTGACTTTAACATCGAAGCTTTAGATGAACCAAACAGAGACTACTTACACAAACATTTCGGTAAGGTTTTCATGAGACTCTTAGAGAAAATTAAAAATAAACTCCCAACAAAGATGGATGGTATGTTATAAACTTGGTGGAAAGTATGAATGTTCTACGTTAAACCTCAATAATATTGGAACATTACTACATCAGCTCTTGAAGGAGAACTTTATATCAGAGATAGAAGCAAATGCCGCAGGTATTGTTGAAATGCACTATGACTTCTTCTTGACAAACATAAAGAATCTTACTGAAATAAAGATGTATGATTTAACAGAATATGAAGGCTTAACGATGTCAGATGTAAAGAAAGGCAAACCAAAAAAGAGACCATATAGAGATGAAAGCACACTGACAAATGACCAGAAAGCCATTTTGGAAGCTCTTAAGCAAACAGGAAACCCAGCACTTATAGAAAGCTTTTGGAAAGATAATGGTGAAAAGAAGTTTTATAAGAAGAGAAGCGGTCAGTTCTGGAAGTATCTTTGCACATTACCTATAAATCTTGAACGCTACCAAATCTTCAATGAACTGAACAAAAGAACTGCAACACTTATGACAGAAGATAATGCTTTCGTTTATGCTTGTATTCAGGCTGGAGTAAATGAAGAAACTATTGACCACATGAGAGAAGTCATTCGTGTTAGAGACTTTCCTCAAAGTAAAGTACAAGAAATTTCTGACGCAACAGGTATAGCATTTAATGTTACCATTGGTTATTTCGACAACTCCAAAGATAACAGAATAATTCACTACATACCAAAAGAATGTGAAACTGCTCGAACTATTGACTTACTTCTTGTTGAAGACCACTACATGCTAAATGAAAGATTACCAATGACAACATACTTCATCAGAAATTACAGAGAAATCTTGAAGGAGTGTGGTGGAATGAACATTGAGAAACAGATGAAGATTTATACAAAGAGAGAGAACAAATATGTTGTTCGTAATGATAGAACTACACCTCTATGGGATGTTATGAAAACATTGTGGGAGTGCAAATATTTCGAACCTATTTCTTATGGAGAACTTTTCACATATACTACTGACTTATATAAACAGAACCTTGCACCATTTAAAGATTTGACATATGCTCCAAAGTATTGTGTACAACTGAAGAAGAAAGCAGAGTCAAAAGAAGTAAATAAAGCTAAATGTAAATTCATACCTGAGCACGTTTTCTTTGCTGACTTTGAGTGTAGTACGGATGGCTTTCATAAAGCTTTTAACATCTGTTATGACAGTGAAGATGGTTCAGTTAGTGAAAGTATTTGGGGTCAAAACTGTGCAACAGAATTCTTGGAAAGACTTCCTGACAAGAGTTTAATATATTTCCATAACCTCAGTTATGACATAAACTTCATCTTAAGACACATGACAGAAGTGAAAGGAACTCCCATCATTAAAGGTTCACGAACAATGCAAATAACTGGTTTATATAAAGGACGGGCAATTATTATAAAAGACTCTTACAGTGTTATAAATAAGAAGCTTAAACTATTTCCTGCTATGTTTAACTTACAAACAGGACCGAAAGAAGTATTTCCATATAACTACTACAGCAGTGTTTTGTTAGCAAATGACAACAGAACTGGTGTCATTTCTGAAGCATGTAAGTTTATCCATGATGCAGATACATTTATGAAGAACATAGATTCCATCAAAGGTTGCAGAATAGATGAAAACCACTTCGACTTAGAAAAATATAGCACGTTTTACTGCAAACAAGATGTAAGAATTTTAAGAGAAGGTTTTGTAAAGTTCCGCAATGACTTATTGAAAGAGTTTGATTTAAACGTTTATGACTACGTTAGTATTTGTTCTATTGCTAACAAATTGTTTGAGAACAGAGTATACTTCCCGAATGGAAATCTTTATGACCTCTCAAATAAACCAAGAGAATTTATTTCGAGATGCATTCAAGGTGGAAGATGTATGTTGTCAGATAACATGAAACAAAAGAGCAAAAAGAAACTCATTGCTGACTTCGACACTGTTTCATTATATCCTTCAGCTATAGCAAGATTGTATACTTTAGAAGGAATTCCAAAAGTATTGAAGGATGAGATGCTAAGCACAGAGTATCTCATGAGACATTTATTCGATGATGACCAAAAGGAACCCATTGGTGAAAAGTTTATGTCTGGCTTCTTTGTTCTCATTAAGATAACAGAGATTGGTATACCCAGACACTTTCATTTAATAGTTTGCGACCCTGAACTAAATCCAGAACTTAACGTTCCAAGAAGTTCAAACACTTGCTGTCTCATGTATGTTGACCATATAACATTACAAGACCTCATAAAATATCAAGGTGTCAAATGTGAAGTGTTGCAAGGATACTATTACGATGGAAACAGAGATATGAGAATAAGAGATGAAGTAAAGAAGTTGTTTGAGTTAAGGTTAAAGTATAAGAAAGAAGGAAACCCCTTACAAGAAATTATAAAACTCATTCTGAACAGCATTTATGGCAAAACTATTCTATCTCCTATTGAGTCAAAAATAACCATAGTAAATGACAAAGATGCTATAAGATATGCTATAAGAAATTACAACCATATAGTGAAGTTCGAAGGTTTGGATGGTTCAGATAAAACTATTTTCAAGCTAACGAAAAGCATTTGCAGACACTTTAACTTCTGTCCACTTGGTGTTAATATTCTGTCTATGTCAAAACGTATTATGAATGAAGTATTCTGTACTGCTGAAGATATGGGACTTCAAATATTTTACCAGGATACCGACAGTATGCACTTATATAATGAAGACATACCAAAGCTTGCAGCAGAGTTTAAGAAGAGATATGGTCGCGAACTTATAGGAAAGAACCTTGGTCAATTTCATAGCGACTTTGCAGAAATAACACCTGGAAAACAAAGTTTAGCTTATAAAAGTATTTTCTGTGGAAAGAAGACCTACATAGACTTACTCACGAATGATTTAAATGAAGTTGCATTTCACTGCAGAATGAAAGGCGTGAAGCAAGATGTTATTGCTTTAACCGCTAATGAAATGTTTCCTGAAGCTATACAATGCTATTACAATGAAGATAAGAACATTCACATACCTGTTGGAACATATGACAAAGACTCTGAGTTCAGTTTAATGAAACTTTACAAAGCACTTCATGATGGTCAAGAGATTGCATTCGACTTATGTAAGTCATGTCAACCTTGCTTTGCTGAAAAGTTCAACTTTTCAATAACGACTAAAACAAGCTTTATTCGTAAGTTGAAGTTCTGAGGTCATTTATTTTTGTCAGCAATGAGGTCATTCGTGATAAAAATAAAGCTAGCGTAGATTTTACAATACTGCGATGGTAGAGTTTAAGAGTTGTGCTTCAATGTAGAGACAGTCCTTATGGTCTGGAGGCAAGAACACTGGACATTTATGGTCATGAGTGGAGAACATGTCTATCCAAAACTCACGATTGAAGCCAGTTAATTTATAGTATTTAGGGTTAGGAAGTGGTGAAGTTCTTGTATGACCAATGAACTCATTTTCAACTCCTTTACTTAAGTTTGAATATAATATAGCTTGCTTTCTATCCCAAATGCCAGGTGTTACAATCTTTGAAAATTCATTTTTCCTCGGAAGCATTGCATCATAATTGAAAACATTCTTAAAATCATCACTTGGTTCAGAGATTTGAAACCTTATACGTAATGGATTTTTTTTCTCTTTAGCGACTTCATTGAATGGTGAGAATACAACAAACTGACAGTCATGTGTTCCATCTTCATTTTCATTAAATTCATAATGAAAGTCTATAAGTTGTGGCTGACTACCTTCTTCTTTCAGTTGTGCAAGAAACTCACGTAAAGGCTGTAAAGTTTGTACTTCAATGTTGAACTTTTTCTCGAACATCTCATTAAATGAAATCATACATTGCAACAATGTTGTATCGTCTTTAAAGTATTTGTATATGTGAATGTTTTGGGCGCTTAAAGACTGTTCGTCATTTTCTATCTCGACTTGAAGTATAAAGTCAACCTTTCTGAAAGCACGTGTTATATACATAGATGTTATGCCAATGTACTTCTCTTCATTTATGTTCACAATCCAGTCTGTTGGAAACTTAAACGTTACTCTGTTCCCTTTATTTTGACGTCAGGGTTTTCACTACTGAACGCAACAGATAAAGGTATTTGTCTATACATTTAGTTCGGATAAAAAAAACCATTTACTCTTTCTTTGCTTCAGCTTCTTTAGCTTTTGCTTCAGCTTCTTCTCTAGCTTTCTTTGCCAGCAAACGTGGGTTCTTTTGTCTTCCAGCAGCTAATGCAGCAAGTTGTTTTTCACTAAGTTTTCTCTTTGGTCTCTCTGGCTTTTGTTCTTGTTTTTGTTCCTTCAGTTCGGATAAAATTTGCTCACGAATTTCTTTCTTCAATGCTTCAACATCTATGACCCCTTGGGTCTTGTCCGTAGGGCTTGTCTGAGTCATTTGACTGCAGATAAAAAACTAAATTAAAACTTTAACCGATGTAAAATGAGCTTGTCAAAATCAGAACGAGAGTCTATTATATTAAATGACGCCAGAGGAATACAACATCCTTTCTATTATGTAAGTCAGAGTAAAGATGGTAAAATATATGTAAGAAAAAGAAAGGTTCCATTAGCGAATACAGAGAGCGACAACATTAAGGTGCATGGCAAGGGCGAAGCCCACGAAGCCCATATAAAACCTTCTGTTCAAACTGAAAAGTCAATAGAACAAGAAGAAAAGAAGCCAGATGTTCTTTCAATAACGAACCAAGAGCTTATTGCAAAGTTCGTGAATTTCATTGAAAAGCAAACCGAGTCAAAGAACCCTGACCCGCCAGTGAAAGAAGTTGAGACAAAAGAGAATGTACAGTTCATTGAAAATGTCAAGAAACAACTTCCACCACGAATACCAAGAAGAAGAGTGAGAATAATGAAGTAAATAGATATTTTTATCTGAAGTAAATACATGCAGAACGAACAGCTAAACGAATTTACTCCAGCAGAGCATATTCATCAGATTCGCTCATATTTCGATATCATAGACAATGCAGTTCAAATTGGTGACACTAATAGAAAATATTCTGACGCAAAGATTCCATCACAACCTGGAACTGCTAAAGATAACACATGGGTAACATTCAATCTCTCACCTCCTGGTGAAAATATGTTGGACCTTTACAATACATTCATTACGTATAAAATGGAAGGTCAATTTATTGTAGATAAAGAAATTGGTTCAGGTTCCAATAAAACAAACCCACCAGGATTTTGGATTGGTTTCGATGACGCTTTCTATGCAGTTGCTGGATATCAAATCCTTGCAAATGGTCGTATCGTATATTCTCAAGACAACGCAAGAGAAGAAGCATATATAACTTCAAACTCACAAACTACCGAACAAATAAAGAAAGTAGATGTTTTCTCAAAGACTCGACATGAAGATGTATGGAGTCATTCGGGAACATGCAGAACAGGACAAATTGTTAGTGGTCCAATTACAGCAGGAAAATCATTTGATTTTAAGCTTCGTTTAAGAATTCCTGTTAGAAGATTCCTTCCATTAGAAGCTATTCGATTTATTCCAGCTTTTGCAGGAAACATTCAGCTTAAAGTAAAGTTCAGTAGCGACGCCTTACAATGCACATCTATATCTGTAAATGATATCGTTGCTTTCAATCCAACTCTTAAAGTTGCATTTGCTTCAGATTCAAATCCACCGACAAATAAATTTGTTCCATGGAATGAACCATTCACTATGATAACGAAGGCAGTAGAAGCTAGTGGAACAGTTACTATTACAACTGTAACCCAGCAACTATTTCGAACAAAGATGGATTTTAATGAATGTTTCATTCATCCAAAGTCATTCTCTTTAGACCCTAACATTTATACAGAACTTGTAGAACATTATACAAACGAGGCTTTATGTTTTCCTGTTAAAGTTATGGATTGGATTCCTATGGACGGTTCATTCTCAAAGAATACAGATAGTTCAAGTGCAACATTTACAGCAGCTTATACGCCTATTAATGTTAAAAGTATTTGGGCACTATTTAGAAAGAAAGACAACTATTATGTTAATTTTGAGAACCCTAAGTTTAAATATCTTCAGCTTTCCATGGGAGCTTATGGAAATATGCCTGCAGAACCTGAAAAATCATATGGACCTGTATTTTATGAAATGGTTGCGAACGCTTGCAATACAAACAATGATATGATAGGATTTAATGAAGATGTTATGAGGTCATTGGTGGATGATGGTAGTGTGGAACATAAATGGGATAGCTATGACAACACACATTTCTTATGTGGTTTTCCAACAGAAGTGGACTTTTGCTTCCAGCAAGGTCAAACATCTACTGCTCCAATAACATACAAATTGTCTGTTAAAGGACCTATTGAACTAGCAACTGAAAATGTACCAAAGCCACTTATTGGATTTATGAGGGATTGTTGCTTTGCCATTCAGGTGCGTGCTAATGGAATCCCAATAATAAGATTAGATGACTATAACTTAGCAACTGACGACAGTGAGGAATAAAGGATGAACGTTTATTTTTAAAGCTTATAAATGAGTTCTTCATCAAGCTCTCGTGAACCTTCACCATCTATGAAACAAACTTTACCAAACGATTATGGAGCACCTATTGAATATTTCTTACGAGCTGCACAATGGCAAAGAGCAGTCTCACCAAGGTTAGGTGTTCCACCAGCTCCTGTCAAAAATAGCATTTGGTCAAGTCCTTATATAAGATATGGTCTCCCACTAGGTTTGCTAGCTACAGCAGGAGCAGTTATGATGTTGAAAAGAAATAAAGCAAATGTTGTAAATAATACTGAAGTAGCTGAAGTTAAACAAACTCCGACACCATCACAAACAACACCTTCAATGACTCCTGAACCTATGAAAGTACAAACTCCTGTTCAAAAGTCAACTCCTAAACCGACTCCAACATTTAAACCAGAACCTACTCCTCAAATAAATCGTAAAACTCCTGCGTTTCCTTACTGAAAAAATAACGTTATTTTTATTTAATATTAAAATTTTTATTTGATTGAAATGACGACTAAAGTCACTGAAGCAATGAAACAAAAGTTTTTGGTAGAATACATTAAATCAGGAGCGGTTCCAGAAGGTTTTTACATTCATACTATGAAGGATGGTAGAGTTCAGTTTAGAAAGATAAAGCAACCATTAGATAGAGAAGGTATATTAAGGAAGATTAAACTTCATGAGGACAACATTGCTGAACTTAAGAAGAAGTTAGAAGAGTTGGAGAAAGGAAGAGAGTTATAAAGTAATGAATTCAACGGGTGAAAAAACAGGTGAAAAAAGAGGTGACATCTCACCACTTCACCTAAATTTATTTTTGTGCTATGTTTTCATACGTGTGAGGGTGGTGATATCATTAATTTTTAAGTTTATTTTTATATAAATGACAGAACAAAAGCAACTCATTCGAATTCCACAGTATAACAAACATACATTTAAACATTTATTCTTCCTTCCTGAGCATAACATGTTCTTTCAAATACATCCGAGACCAGTTGACTTTTCATTGACTGTGTATAAAGATAGAAATAGTTATATCATTAAACCATACGATGACGAAGGTAAGTTATGTAAATTGTACGTTAAGAAGTTAGAGAAAGTTTATGGCTTCAAGTATGACTACAATAGGGTTAACACTGATGATGAAGATATTGAGGAAAATTTATGAGAACATTAGTGAAGTCGTTAGTGAGAACGATAGTGAGAACGTTTATTTTTACATTAGTGAGCTCGTTAGTGAAGTGAAGTGGGTGGCTTTGTAAATATTTAAGGTTAAATTAGTGTTGTCGTTTGTGTTGTAAAATATACGTTACCGGTTTTGTAAAGTGTCAAATTCACAAGTATTGGATAAAGTGAAAACGCAGTGCCACAGTGCCGAACACTTGTATACTAACTGTGTTCTTATGGAGATTCTGAATGAAAAAAATTAATTGTTCTGTTATTGGATCATATGAAAGAGGATAAAAGAATGTTTTGAATGCAATGTTAAACATGTATTAGAATTTGTTGTAAATTCTGTATTTTTTTGGTATGATATAGCAGAAATAATTAAATTTGTTGAATTTTCGTATTATAAAAGGAGTTTAAGAGATAGTTTCAGAGAACGATTTGTAATTGATGGTGAATAGTTACATCAAATGAATATACAAAGAGATATAAAGTTGTTGGGTGTTAATTTATGAAAAGTTATGAAATATTGGTATCTATTTCAAGTAACTTGTAAGAAATCATAAAGTTTGTATAATACTAATGGTGTTGGATATGTTAAAACACAATCAAAGTATCTTGTTCTTGCAAAATATGATAATTGTGAATCTGATTCATATGGTGATACGATATACGCGATGCATTCTTTTATAAGTTCTTTCTTCAATTGATTTTTGATAATATTCAAATGCTGACGGTAATCGTCGTTCTATTTATAATTGATGAGCAATAATTAATGATTCACGTCGCTCTTCTTGAAGCTTCTAATTTGTCATAAACTTGGCTGCTTGACAATCAAAAACAATAACAGGGGTGAGGCCAAATTTTTAAACAGCCATGATACGACTCATTAAAAATATTGACAAGGGAAGTAACTTTCTGAAGTTTACATTTCTTTTAAGGGTGTACTCCGACCCATTCAATTTTAGGGCACATACACTGCCTCCCCCTGAATTAAATATTTGATATTAAGAAATGATAATATGATATATTTATAGAATGATATGAGGTCTATTAAATAAAAGAGAATTGCAATTAATTATCACTTAAAATTTTGAAATATTTTATTGTTTTTAGAAGTATAATTAAGATCTCATTATAACTCCATATTGAAAGCTTGGAATGGAGAAAACTCTTCGTGGTGCTATAGAATATATAGTTATATATATGTACCCAAGTCCATGTCTCAATATTTCAAGTATTTGAGATACTTATGTTTGTTGCAAGCACTCCTAAAATTGCTGGAATTTATATGAAAAATAGTAAATGTAACATATCTTTTTTTCCTCAAGAGGCAGTGACATTGCTCAACGAGAAATAGATACATATACCTATAATACATACTACCACGAAGAGCTTTGTTTCCTAAAATTCCAAATTTTTGAGAAAAATCAAATTTTGTAAAAAAATACTAAAAACTTAACTTCATTTCGAGCTAAACTACGGATGTAATTTTCCCAACGATAGGTGTCTCTGAGAAATTGCTAGGTGTCATCATAGTGTCTTGACTTCAAAATTTTTATTTTCAAATTTATTTTGCGCATTTTTCAAAGAAAAATTATATCAAAACTCAACAATTAAAACGGGTAAAATCTAGTATAATATGTAAAGGTTCTATATAATTAAAATAAAAGAGATTTTATTTTTTCAAAGGTGTCTGTCAAACCACAAGACACCATTCAAAATTTGAATGTGTCTGACGGTTACATAAGACACCATCAAAAACAACGATAGGTCAGACACTATTGAATTTTACCCATTTTCATATATTTTTACCCTCTAAAAATTTATTTTGCTATGCTATCTTGATATTATGCTATACGTCAAATGATATTATATGTTTATATAAAGTATATATCATTGTACTGCATTTGCCTACTTCTATAAGCATATAACATCATTTGCCGCATACATTATCCTGCATCATTATGATCTCTCCACTTGGCCATCATATGAATTCTACAATCCAGGACTGCAGTACTTATGATATTCTAACTTAGAATTCTTAAGTCTTGCACTTCTGGATTGTATCTTCTCGAATACGCTTTCTGATTTCCATCCGAATCAATTGATTAGTAGATGTAATCCAGTTCTTTAGTCTACAGGAAGTCAGTGCTTAGTGAGACTACTTGAATAGAACAGTATTAATCCGAAGTCTCTCATTCAATGAGAGGCTTCGTATTAATACTGCTCTAAAAGCGTTGTAAAAGTACTCTCTGGTCATCGGAACGTCAGCAATCATAAATTAAGAAAAAACTCAACAAGATGTTTCACTAAATAGTGAAACTCTTGCAGAGTTATCCTAATTAGGGTTTGACGTATCATTCTTTACTCACCAAAGAGTTGTTTTCAAGTATTTACTATATTATGAACAGATTTCTTTCGAAGACTCTCATTTAATTGGGGTCTTCGAAAGAAATCTGTTCATAATTAATGTATTTATGCTTTTTATGAATAAGATATTCCTTAATTAATGCAAACTCCTTTGAGTTACCTTATTGATTGAGATAGACCCAAAGAACTTTGCATTAATGTTGGGTTCTTGTAATCACCTCTAAAACAATGTATTTGAGCGGTATTTAGCTTCTCAAAAGGTACTATGAAGAGAAATTCATAGTACTTTAGGGTAGCTAATACCATTCCCCCAATTTATCGTTGGATTCTGTATATAAGTCGAAAAGAGCAAAGTTCTTTCTGAGGATCAGCTTATAAAAGATTAATCTTCAGGAAGAACTTTGCTCTAGTGTAATTGATATGCAATCTCTGACAAAATATGGATCAGAGAGTTCTTTAAAGAGCGTTTATAATGAAGTTCTCATTTTGGATAGGATCAAATTAAGAATCCAAAAGAGAACTTCATTATAAAATGAA